TAAAGCTGCTCAATCCCGCCAGTGCATTGTCGTCGACAAGCATCGGCGTGCGGTGCGTTTTGAGGTTGGGAACTCCGTGCTGCTCAGCACCCGCAACATCCAGTTGAAATCTCCTGGAGCAAAGAAATTATTGCCTAAGTTTATTGGGCCATATAAGGTTGTCGCCCGAGTGGGAGAGAACGCGGTAAAATTGGGATTACCCGCGACTTCCCGACTCCATCCGGTCTTCCACGTATCCTTGCTCAAACCATTCAAGGACGATGGAACACGACAACCGCCGCCCCCGTTCATAATTGACGAAGAGCCATATTACATGGTTGAGGCACTACTTGACCATCGTGATGTGAAAATCCGAGGTGGAACCGACAAAACACGTCGAGAATATCTGGTTAAATGGGAAGGCTATGACTCCAGTCATAACACCTATGAACCGGAAGATTCCCTGCGTCAGTCCGTTCCCTTGGCCGAAGCTATTGATGACTATGAACGACGGTTGGCGGCAAAGTCCGGGCAATCTACACCAAAAAGGAAAGTGGTCCTGACCACCCCTCCTTCGGTAGCACCCCGGAACAGCACCCCAGAACAACCGAAACGGAAAGCACCTGCTCGCAAGAAAAGGTGACGCTCCCGGGACGGTTCGCTTCTGAGGGGGAGGGATGTAGCAAGCTACATTTACCTTAGAATATCTTTAAGCTATTAAAGCTTAATCACAGTAACGGTACGGTCCCGTATTTACGAACCATACTCGTTAACTGTACGAACTCACTTTCTGGTACGCTATCACAACCTAGCGTACGACACCAAGACTCCAGGAATGGAGATGGCGGCAGGTGGGCCGCATTTAAGCCACCCAGGTGAAGTGCTTCGGCCAGACACTTAACGTATCACTATACTAGTGTTCAGGGTTCAAGACCTTGCTGTCACCGTTCTCGACGTATGTCTTCGAATCCCGACTTCCCTTGTCTCTTCTCACGCCTAACGCTGGGTCGCCAATCGTGGACGAGACCCTCTACTTCCGCTAAAACAGCTAAGGTAAGAGACGGCTGTTACACAACGCCAGTCTTCCAATTCAGGGTGCCGAAATGCAGACATGGAGGATTGGACACCTTTTTGATGCGCCGGCTCCCTCACTGCACACCACACACCTGGTCACCCAGCATGCACAGATAAGTTGCACTGCAGCACAAGGCTGCTCGCCCATCACAGTACACGCCAGCATATTCCCACTGCACGCCTTGCTGCCCCGCCCATTACTGAAAATGCCCGACCACTTGCATCACCAAAGGTTGTGATTCTACCGCACCCTCCGTGCATTATTCCCCAGGCCTACTGCATCCTCGACGTAATCTCCCTGCTGGACATACCATCCAGCGATGTTGGTGCTGTCAGTAGCGATGTATGCATGGCCCGCCATGTCCACCTTGTGCATAGCACTGCCTGCTGCTTTATGCCGTGACAGCTTGCTCCACAGCTGGCCTACATCCAGCGTAGTGATCTTGCTACGAACCTCATCCACAATGGTGGGGTCGTCCACCTGCACACATGTGCTGGTTAGGTCGTGTCCAAGCAGGGGGCGCACCCTAAACAGGTCCTTCTTGCCAACCTACACGCACCTCCACTTTAGCAAACAGCAAGGTCACTTGCTGCCCGCTCAAAGCAGGCTTGGCAACCCCCGCTTGCACCTTGCCCAACGCCACCTCCGCAGTCCGCTTGAGTGTAGGGGCCGTGCCGCACACCACCACCGGAGTGGGCCCTGTGATGTCGTGCAGCCGGACTTGCACAGCTGCCAGGTCGCCCTGCTTAACTGGCACTCGGCCCAGCACCGGTGTGACCATCACCCGTGTTTTAGCAGCATCCAGATTCACCTGCAGCTTCTTCAGCAGCCGGCAGCGCGTTCTCAAGGACTGCACCTCCGCCATGCTGGCCGGCAGTGACGGGTTCGTCTGGTCAGACCACAGGATCCCATCTGGCACCGACACTGCAGAGGCGCACCCCAGCGGCCGCTCCACTTGCACACCGGCAGCCACTTGGGTGTTGGGCCTGCACAGATAAACACAACATTATTTCTCTAGAACGGAACGGGCCATTTACTGCAGCAGCACAATGCGAGCACCCTCCAAACGGACATGCAGTTCCTGACCTGGTCTTTGCTGCACAGCTGCACGAATGTGCTGCTGCAACAACCTTGCACCCCTGCCAATCCAACACCAGCCGCCCTGTGCAAGCTTGGCCGCCTGACGACGGTCCGTCATGACAGTCGCAGACAAACACCAGGGAGCCCCGGGCCGAGGCGGCAGTGGCCCTTAAGTGCGGAAATAAGTCCTGCCGCACTTGGTCGCCTAGCGAGTTGCAGCCTGCGGCAGAACATCCGGCTGGAAGCGGAGCTTCAAATCCCTCATTGGCATCGAACTGAGGCCGCAGCTCTGTCAGTGCCGCGCTCGCCCAACGCCGGGCCATCACCACTTTGGCGCGCTGCTGCGCGACTTCGCCGCTGGCTTCCTGCAAGTATGATGACAGTGAAGAGATGCTGCTGTTTTTGCAAATCCCTGCTAATCTGCCGCCAATGGGCAAAAGCTGGTGTGGTTGACGATGCAAGCTTTTAT